GGAGATGGATTGTTTAAGTTTAGAGTTTGGAGTTAGAGATATTAATATTTGTTTACTTGTATTTGAATATTAGCCTAGGTTTGGTTTGGGAAGTCCGGGGGGTGGGGGGATGGGATAAATCATTGTGTAATACCTGTGATGTATTTCTTTTTTCTCTTATGATAAAAACAATAAAATTTTATATTGAAAAAAAAAAAGAGGTACTTAAAGTGCGCCTAATGAGATGGATGGTATGAATTTTTATGTTATTATGCAAATGATTTTTGATATTGTCATAGGACTATTATGAATTTATGAAAAATAACAAGTGAATGAAAAATCTCTTTGGGTTTGTAGAAGTAATTCATAGTGATTTTCATTGTTGGGTGAATTTTTAAAAAAATCATATCCCTGTTACTAATCCCAGGAAAGTCTGACTGTAACTCAGCAGTAAAATTCATTATTATAGATGTGTGATCCTCTTTAATTATACGTATATGTAATTATAGTATTTCTCAGGTGTTCCTTGAATATTTTTTCTTCCACATTGTCTAACGCATTTTCATTCCACAATACATTCTGATTCTTTTGTCAGTTCAACTAAGGAAGCTAATGCCTGAGATGCAAACATAGCTGGATAGCCTTTGACCAGTCCCTCTCTCTCAGTTCTAGAAAGGAAGCAATAGCAAACCACATCTGAAAATCCTGCCAGGGAAACTGCAGGGACTAATCCAGGCGGTCAGCAGAAGTCAAGAGTGACTCAGAGGCACCCTCCCTGCCTCCCCAAAAAGCATGATAGTCAGGAAAATCCAGGGCAGATGGAAAAGTCATACTTAATATGCAGTGGAATGCTTAATTTAACAGATGCTCCTGGATTTATTAATTATGAATTATTTGGGAGTTTAAAAAAACTTCAGAAATACATTGTTTTTTTTTATTATTTTTTTGATATTATTTTTATTTAAAATTAAGCTGATTACAAATAAAGCTGAAAGAGAGCATTCTTGCTTGGTGCTTGCTTTACGTATAGCGGTGTCTAATGTTACATTATATATAGTTCTAGTTCTTTCTGATTGATTTATTTTTGTATACACACATCGTTTGCTTCAAGTTGCTTAAGCTGAAATAAGCTATAGTTTAGCTAATAAAATAATATAGAAATGGTGAAGTTCTTGGTTTTTTTGGGAATAGAGAATTTGCCTCCTTGTTCAATAAATAGTTTTTAAAATGTTTTAAATGAGAATTTAAAACTGTTGCTGAAAACTGTTGAAGTCTATGGCATTTGTAAGTAGTTCCCACAAACACAGAAATTTGATAAGGGTCAGCTGAATTCAAATTTCTCTCCTCCCTCTCACTTATTACTCAGATAATTTGCAAGACGCTGAAAGAGAGAATTAGATCAAGATACTTACAGAGCATCTATTTCTTCTTTGCATCCTGTCAATTGTTTCTGCAGACCTAAAGGGATTACAAAATATTGAGACCTATTGCATTAAATATTAAATAGGTAATATTAAGTAGGTTTTTCCAAGAGGCACTCTTGACATTATCAAAAAATATAGTCTGTCCCCCATTCAAAAATTCTCATCACCTTTATATCCGTCACTAATTACCTCATAAAGTGTATACTAAGCCACCTTTTTAAATTTATATTTATTTCTTGACCATAAGTGGGTTTGTATGTGTGCATGTTTCATAATTTTAATCAAAACCCTAGTCTTCCCTAGTGGAAATTCACTAGAGCATGAGTATCAAACTCACCGCGTCACGTGATGTGTTGCGATGTATTGTGACTTTTTTTGCATTGCCGGAGCTGGGGTGGGCATGGCCTCCGCATGATGCAATCGGCCCACAGGCCGGCAGTTTGACACCCCTGCATTAGAGTTTCCAAATGTGTCAGGTTAACAATAAAGCTATTTTCAAAACTATGATCTAAAGATGATTTGTTTTAACAGATCATTACATGAGATTATAATAATCTAAAAACAGAAGCGAAAACTTTCAAATTCTTTATGGCTCACTGCAGTAGCTCATTCTCATAATGCAAAACTATGGTTCAGCAGCATTTCCATTTGAGATCTTTATGTAAATATTATATCGCTAATTCTGTTTCATTATATTCCATCTACAGTTAAGCTTTCTCTTTTACTAGCTCAGATTGATTATACTATAAAACTTGGACTATGCCAGTCAATTTTTCTTCAGTTGGCTTACTGTGTCCTCAGGTTAGCCCTTCAAGCCCTTATAGAAGTGCATTTTTTAAAGTATCAGGCCCAGGACTGGATTAATAATTTCAATTTATGGTTGAGAATCCAGTTGTGTAGTCAAAATTATGAAAACAGTGTTGTATTATCACTGTACAAGTTCTGCCATATTTGGATGTGTTGATTTTGTCATTTGACACCCATCCCCAGTCCCTTTATGAATACCTCTGCTCTTAATACTTGACAATTTTATATCCACTTGGAAATCTGAGATCAAAGAGAAAATGTATATACGGCTTCTCCCAATTGAAGAAAACAAGCTATGTGGAAATTAAGTTTGTAGTAAAGCTGCCTCTGATAGATGCTAACAACCAGATTTTGGTTTATCTGCCCCAACAATATTGAAGCAAGCATCAATGTTTCTAGTCAGTTTGGGAAGCATTTCCTATGTGACTCTGTTATAACGGAAAAATGCTCTTGGCTTTGGAAAGCTGTGTCTTTGCCTGCATGGATTTATTTCAGTTAAGTTTATACAAGTTTTGCTTTTATACATTTTAACCTTAAGGATCTGAACATTGTAGTATAGTAGAATTTGTGCTAAGGGCAATAACTTTTGCTTGGATGTGTGTTGCTTCTGATTATGTGAGTCATATGGTATGTATACATTTTAGCCATCCAGCTTGTTTGCCAGAATTTACCTATACCAGTTTTTCCTACTGCTTCATTCTTTTCCTCCTTTACTGAATACTTATTTGTCAGATTGGATTTTCTAGCATCTCTCACTAATTCAGCCATTTTGGAACCTCTCGTACAATCTTGACCTTCAATCTTTTCTACAGCAAAGGTTATTTTCAGTGAAAAATAAACCATTATTTGATTTATTGATAAATTCTGCTAGTTAGTTAAAACTTGTGTCTATTACACTATTGCATTCTAAAATAATAATAGGAACAGAACTGGAAATATAGGAAATATAGGAACATAACTGGAAATGTTTCACTGTAGCTTTGGAAACTGGAAATTATAGACATGCAGGAATTTACTGGTTAGTTATTTATGTTAATATGAAGATATAGTTTTCTGGCTGTTTTCCCCCATGTAGAAGTAGTTCATTCAATTTTTATTCTACTGTACTTGTTTTAATGGTAAGAGGTACTATTACACATCTATAAGCAAGAATATATTTAACAAAATCTCTGTAATTTTTGGATTGCTTCTACTATCTCAGTTTAAGCTTTTAGCAAACTGGAGAAACTCAAAAATGTAATAAAGCTCCAGTACAACTATGTAACTTTTATTTTATATACAGATAATATCTGCTTAACAGTCTTAGTTGGGACGAGAATTTCCATCGCTAAGCGAAGTAGTTACTAGGCAAAACATCACACGGCTGCACGACTTACAAATGGCAGTTCCAGTAGTCCTAGTTGCAGATGGTCGACATTGCAGTTGGTAGGCAAGGTCCTCACACTTCTCCTGTCTTGCCTTACTTCCCTAACCCCCATCTCTGCCTTTTCGGTTGCTCTGCACTCCACCACCACTGCCTGTCCCTGCCATCCTCTGCTGCCTCCCAGCTGACATTTGTTATATTCCTCCTCTGACAGGGTTATGGGGAATGAGCATCTCTTCTTGTCAAATATCTCAATTGCCTTTAATACTAAGGTATCTTTCTGGGTAAACCAAGGATTATGCTGTGCTAGCTGCACAGAATATGCTGCCCCTAAGTCACATTGACACCATCTCTCAATGATGTTAAGAATAATGTTAAGTGTTGTGAAGCACTTTTAGAATGATTCAGAATAAGGGATGATGTTAGCATTCCCTAATTTTTGGTACTCTATGCCAGTGCCTACTCAGTCTTAGCCTAAAGCCAGCCCTAGGAGCAATGATTTTCCTCCTTTCTTACAGACCAGTTGATTTGGGGAAGAGTTGGCATTCTTCAGACATCTGGTTTAGAGTGTCATAGGGCTTGGCCATTCTTCTTCCCCTCCCCCACAGTTATCACTTAGAGGAAGCCACTGGGAGAAGTTATCTGTTGGCATGAGGTGATATATTATCAATCAATGGGTGATACTCAATTATCTCCACCACAGATTGGGCAGAAGATCTCAATTCCTGGAGGCTCTTAGATTCTGGATGAGGGAAAACTGGCAATCTGTCTAAGTACAACCTAGAAGAATCCCTAGGAATAAAGGAATTTGGAGGCAGATCAAAACAATCCAACAAAGAAATTTCAATAAAAGTTGGCAACTATGACAAACCACATGGAATAAAGCAAGGCTTTAACTCTCCTTTACAAAAGGCCTGGGTGAAGAGACAGATCTTCACAATTCTTCTAAAGAATAGCAGAGTCGGGGGGGGGGGAGCATCTGTATGTTACCTTGCAATTGTAGCAACTGTTTGTAATTGCAAATCTGAATTTATTAAGCCAAATATATGTCACTAATTTTCCAATGCTTTGCAACCTTCTTGCCTTTCTCTACTGTAATTGAATCAGGAAGCATCTAATCATCAGTTTTTTTCTGAACTGAGAAGTTCTCATTTTCAAGTTTGGAATAAAACAGGATCTTACCCCATGATTTGAAGTTTGGTTAGGAAACTGTTTAACTAAGCACTTTCTGATTTAACTACAGTATATCTGTGTTGTAGAAGAGAATAAAGATATGCTGTATACCATCAAAATACTTGTGTGTGTTTTAGCTCAGTAAGTAAGATACAATTTTCCATACCTGCTATCTTCTTTTTAATAACCAGGAAAATTCTAATATCTAATGTTGAATTTATCATGTTTTTAAAAATATTGAACTGAACACTGGCATTGCTTGAATTTGGTTATATTTTGAGAGAAATATTATAAACAACTTAATTGGACAATCATATTTTCAGAGTTTTTAAAAATTTTATACTAGCAAGTAAAACTTGCATGATATAATCAATTACATACATTTCTGTTATTACTAGAAATTTGCTTTTTTCCAAACATACTTGATTTAAATGCTAAGAGGAGGCAAAATTTCCAAATCTGTTAATCATCCTTATGTGTTGTTTTCTTCTAGAATATAATTTTGATTGTTCTTTGAAAAAAATGTACTTTAAAAAAAATGGTGTAGTTTTAAAATTAGTTCCAAATACTTTCACTTTATTTTTATTAATGCTATTTCCTTAGACTAATGGCTCCTTTATCTCCTTCGTCATAGGTTACCAGTAATGCAAATGATCCCTGGTCAAGTTGGGACAATACAACGGCTGGTGATGCTTGGTCAACAAAACCTGAAGCTAGGCAGAAAAATAGTGCACCAAACAATTGGGAGGCAGCAGCGTTTGGTCATCCTCAAGCTTATCAAGGTCCAGGTCAGTAGAGATTGTCATTGATAATAATTTGTAGGAATGGTGATTGGACTCTTAAGTTTGACTTTTGATGAAATGCATAATTCAGGGTTTTCTAAGACTATTAGAGAACTGGAGGCAGAATGTATAAATGGTAATCTTTCACATTATATACTGTGTAGATCTATTACTTAAAGTCAGTGATCTAGTAGATGGGCATGTCAAGGAAGATTGAACTATATGGGGAAAAAACAATCTTAAGTTTATGTTTTAATATATTTATTTTACTAAAAAGTATTGTTCCATCTGATTAAATACAGAATCATATTTGAGGTAGGCCACCTAGTTCCCCTCATCTTCAAAACTATTTAATATAAATAGTAGGGCCTGAAGACCTAGCTCTTCCGATTGGCCTGGGGACCAAAAAGGGAACCGCATCTACATGGAGGGAAGTTTGTAGTGGGGTGCCCCAGGGCTCTGTTCTGGGCCCAGTGCTCTTCAACATCTTCATCAAAGATTTGGACAAGGGGATAGATGGGGAACTCATCAAATTTGCAGATGACACCAAGCTAACAGGAATAGCCAACACTCCAGAAGACAGGCTTAAGATACAGGAGGATCTGGACAGACTTGAACACTGGGTGCTATCTAAAAAAATGAAATTCAGTGGTGAAAAAAGTAAGGTTCTACATTTAGGCATGAAAAACCAAATGTACAGGTATAGTATAGGGGGTACCTTGCTCAATAGAGGGATTTTGGAGTCCTAGTGGACAATCACTTAAATATGAGCCAGCAGTGTGCTGCAGCTGCCAAAAAAAGCCAACACAGTGCTAGGCTGCATTAACAGAGGGATAGAATCAAGATCATGTGAAGTATTAATACCACTTTACAATGCCTTGGTAAGGCCACACTTGGAATACTCCATCCAGTTTTGGTCACCACGATGTAAAAAAGATGTTGAGACTCTAGAAAGAGTACAGAGAAGAGCAACAAAAATGATTAGGGGACTGGAGGCTAAAACATATAAGGAATGGCTGCTGGAATTGGGTATGTCTAGTTTAACGAAGAAAAGGATGAGGGGGGACATGATAACAGTGTTCCAATATCTCAGGGGCTGCCACAAAGAAGAGGGAGTCAAGCTATTTTCCAAAGCGCCCGAAGGCAGGACAAGAAGCAACGGGTGGAAACTAATCAAGGAGAGAAGCAACCTAGAACTAAGGAGAAACTTCCTGACAGTTAGAACAATTAACCAGTGGAACAACCTGCCTCCAGAAGCGGTGAATGCTCCAACACTGGAAGTTTTTAAGAAGAGACTGGACAGCCATTTGCCCGAAATGGTGTAGGGTTTCCTGCCTGAGCAGGGGGTTGGACTAGATGACCTCCAAGATCCGTTCCAACTTTATTAATAATAATAATAATAATAATAAATAATAATAATAATAATAATAATAATAAATAATAATAATAATAATAATAATAATAATAATAATAATAATAATAATAATAATAATAATAATAATAATAATAATATGATCGGTGGAGGTAGGTGCTAGACTAACTTGCTGACTCCACCTCTCCCCTGCACTTCCTGCTCCCCCTCCATTCATTTTTTTAATTTCATATTATTGTACTTCCACTGTTTATTGTTTCATCCCTGTACTATTGTTATTTTTACATTTTCTATCATTTTTCCCCATTTTATTGTTGTAAGCTGTCCAGAGTAGCCCCACGATAAGATGGGCAGCAGCAAATAAATTTGACAAATAAATAAAAAATAATATTTGGTATACATCTAAACTCTTTTAAAACTACAGATTTTTAATCCCCATTTCATTAAATTACAAAATACTGAGATGATAGTAGCTTATTTGTTTGACATTTGAGCAGTCCTTTCAGTTTTCCACAACATGCCACTATACTCTACGACTGTTAGGGGAAGCTAAGCTGGAAAATCCTAGTTAGTTATGTACACTCTTTTTAATAATTAGCTGCTCACACAGTTGGTGTCCTTTGTTCTTTAGCAGCGGCTGATGATGATGAGTGGGATGAAGAATGGGATGAGCCAAAATCAGCAGCTACCCCCTATCCTGGTTATAAAGAGGCAGAACCCTCTGATCCAGCAGGGCTTCAACGTGGGAACAGCCGTGGAACTGCTATGAAATTGCCACTGAACAAGTAGGACTTGTAGCATGGCACTATAATCAGAATAGAAATTAAAGAGATATGTATGAATTCCTCTCTTAATAGTTTGAATGCTGTAGTCACAATCAATAACTGATGCATCCTATAAATTAAAAAAAAAGTATTCTTCAGTTGAAAGGCCTAGATAAGTACTGTAACAGCATCTAGCTGACTGCAAAAAGGAGGAATAGGCTTAATTGGTATTTGGATAGGAAAGCATCATGACATTCCTGGGCTCTAGGCTAGACTAGAAAGTTTTTAAAAAATCTAGAAGGTACTGGCAGTCTAATCTATTAACTAACTGGCCCAATAAGGTAACAGGAATCAAATTCAACTCAAAGGAGATTTTATTTATTTTAGCTGAAGGAGATAGAAAAATGAGAATGGTATTTTCTAAACTTTTAGTCATATTTTATTCTGAAATAAAAATGTAGAGAGATTCCTTTTTTAATATTAAGCTTACTGTGCCTCTCAGTTGAAATATGTGAATATTTGAAACTGAACAAATACCAGATGGAATTCTGGCTCACTGGTCATATCATTTGTTCTTCTCATTTTCGGTTGATAACAATGCAATTAGTTGTTTTAACAGGATAAATTTAATCTCCATTTAATAAATTATATCACTAGTTGAATCTAGCTGCTCTAAGGTTTTAATATTTATCAATTTACATTCTGCTTGAATTGCTGAAATAACCCTAGGAGGCTTTATATCCTGACTGTCAATAGCTTTCTCTATGTAGTTACCAAACACTGTGCTAAGAACTGCTTTTTCATCACTGGAAATCAATATTCAATGGAGACGTGTGGCTAGATGTAAATGTGGTCTGATTAGAAAGTAAGATGAAAATCCTGCTGTAGACAAATCTTTTTTCATGGGAATCTGTTTGGGATTGGAACAGAGTCTGATTTATGTGAGAGCTGGTTTCCCAAGTGGCAGAAGAGAATTTAAGAGCTCAATAGATGGTGTTTTGGTGGCAGTTGGTACTAACTGCTGCTATCCACTGTTTGTTCTAATTGGAAGAATTCAGCCAATCACAGCTGGCTTAAAAGTGTATGTAGAGATAGACACTTCAGAGGCAGTTGTTAATTATGTTGAGACTAGATCATTTTTGGCTCAAATATTTTATTAACAAGGCCATTTAATCAAATTCAAAAGTCAAGCACCTATAAATCATGGCTGGCATTTCTGAATACAGCAAAAATCCTGTGAAAGAAGATTTGAGTCATTTTATTTCTCTGATTAGATTTCCTGGATTTGCAAAACCTGGAGTGGAACAGTATCTGCTGGCAAAGCAGCTAGTGAAATCCAAAGAGAAAATTCCTATAATTGTAAGTTAATACCAATCTATCTAAAATTTTAACCACTGCATGAATCATTAAATACTTTAAAAATATGAACCACATTTAAGCAAAGTAGTAAATAGTTAGGATAGCATATGGGACAGTGAAACCTCAATTCTTTATTTCTGAAAATATGGAAGCCTATAATTCATTAATTCAGTATTGAACATGGACTTAAATTCTTCACTAACATCCTATAGCATAATTGAAGCCTTTTTTTAAGTTTTAGGGGATTTTTTTCTTGAAATCAATGTTCATGCTGTCCAGTTGAAAGCATATTGCATACAGTACTTTGATTACTTTTTCTAAGTAATGAATAAGGAATCTTTGGGAAATATTTATTCATATTGCATTGTCTACCTACTCCAAATGAATATCCATTGTTATATATAATACTACACCCTACTAAGTAACAGAAAAGTTATTGGAGTTTTATATTTACAAGAGCTAATTGCTTTTAGATAAAACTAGCAAATCATAACAGATCTGGGTAGATATATATAAAAGATATGTATAGCATTTTTAGAATTAATATATAATTTTGTTATCCTGTAGATTGGAGATTATGGTCCAATGTGGGTTTATCCTACTTCTACATTTGACTGTGTTGTGGCTGATCCAAAAAAAGGTTCTAAAATGTATGGTTTGAAGAGCTACATCGAATATCAACTTACATGTACAGTAAGTGCGTACCAGGACTCTTATCATAGGATATCTCAGTGTTCCAGTTTATTCAACGCTAAATTTAATAATATTGATGATATAACCCTTGTAATCATTACAGCTTTATGGAATTCATATATATAGTAGGGTTTTTTTTGTCTGTTTTACAGAACACCAACCGATCGGTCAACCACAGATATAAACATTTTGACTGGTTATATGAGCGCCTCTTAATTAAGTTTGGAACAGCCATTCCAATTCCATCTCTTCCAGATAAACAGGTTACAGGTAATTTTTTTTATCAAAATCACATGTTTGGCTAATTGTTTATAATTTATTTTTCAGAAATAGAGACAGAGTGACTACACTTATTGAGAGAGTTTTCAAGTTACATCACATTAAAAATCCGGAAAAATAGAGAAATAAAATTCATATAATTGTGTGGATAGCTGATAAAACTCTTAATTATAATTATTCTGCTTAGTTTTATATTTTGTGAAAATTTATAGTTATTTTGTTTTTTACAGCATTCTGACAATGTCTTTTCATGGAATTTTTAATATGCTATATTGGACTATTAATGCTATAGTCAAATAATTTTGTTTCTTGGTCTGCTGTTATAAAAATACAAGGAAAAGAAATTAAGTCAGTAATTATAGCAATAGCAAAAGCACTTAGACTTATATACCACTTCACAGTGCTTTACAGCCTTCTCTAAGCGGTTTACAGAGTCAGCATATTGCTCCCAACAATCTGAGTCCTCATTTTACTGATTTGGAAGGATGGAAGGCTGACTCAACTTTGAGCCGGTGAAAATTGAACTGCCAAACTGCTCGCAGAAGTAGCCTGCAGTACTGCACTTTAACCACTGCACTACCACGGCTCTTATAAAACCATTTCAGTCATTTATTGGAATTATAAACCTTTCTATGATGGTTTGAGGCGGGCTACAACTTTTGCTCTAATTAACTGGCATTTTTCTCCAGTTGTCTTTCCTTGCTTTATTGTAATAATATTTTAAATAAATAAATTTAAAACACCCAATAGCAGAGCCAATGCTGTAGCTCTTTGTACTGTTCAAATTGTGAAAAGAAAACTGAGCGTGGACACAAATACATTTCCATAATGCTAAGGAAACTGAAAACAGAAAATGTATTTGTTTCCCTTAGCATTGTCTAAAGGTATCCTTGGCTACCTGCTCTGCCATTTAAAAGGGATACAGTTATATTCCTAAAGGAGGAGATTTAATTTCAAAAATCTGCTGGCTACAGAGTATTAGAGAAAGGCATATTTTTGAAAGGAAATCAAAAGGGAGCTGAGATGGTGAGACAGCTTAGAAGATGGTTGGGCTTATTGTATGACCCATATTTGCCTATGGTTCACATAAATCTTTACCACTTCAACATTCTTAAGGGAAAACTAAATATTCTGTCAGCAATCTTTTGCTTTAAGCTGAAAATACTTGCCATAAAAATTAAACATTATACAAAATATATAAATTGAGTATTTTCAGCTTGAGGAAAAAAGAGATAGACATTAGGTGAATTCATGAAATACACATATTTTCTCAGGCTAGTCGAAATATTTAGTGATTGATCTCAAAAAATAGCATCAAAACATGGATGATAGTAGCAGTCCTGTTTTGGCTGCAGGACGTTTTGAAGAAGAATTCATCAAAATGCGGATGGAGAGATTACAAGCTTGGATGACCAGGATGTGTCGTCACCCAGTTATTTCAGAAAGTGACGTTTTTCAGCAATTCCTTAGTTTCCGTGATGAAAAGGTAACACTTTACTTAAGTTTTTTGGAATGAATTGGTGGATAAATCTTAATAGAAAAAAAATGTAATAGGGAATATTTCTTGTACAAAATGTTTGCTATGAACACTAATGACTTCTAAGCTGTGCTTTATTTAGATTGTAGTTTAGGGAAGTAGTAAAATAGTGAAACTTGATAGCAAGTCATAATTCACAAACTCTCAAGTATATCTGCAGAGATTTCAGAGCTCTTCTCTTTCTCTTAAGCTTTATTAAACCATTTTCTGTAGCTCTTTCATATATGGTAGATTATATGGCTCTTATGATCATGGTATACTTGGTCTGCATATACTTGGTATACTTGGTCTGCATATCAGCTATGAAAGAACCAGAAGAGCTTTCTAAGTTCCTGCCCTCATCAAGACCATGGGGAAGTGTTCAATACTAGAATGTGCATCCCTCATACAATCATTCTTATATTTAGGAATGGAAAACTGGTAAAAGGAAGGCAGAAAAAGATGAGGTTGTTGGTGTCATGGTATTTTCTACTATGGAACCGGAAGCTCCCGATTTGGATATGATAGAAATGTAAGTTACTAGATTTCCCCATCTCTGTTACAGTAAAACAAAAGTGATGAAAAAAGTACCAAAATAATGCAAGTGTATCTTTAATCTTGCTAGAATAAATGTTTTCACTGTAGCCAAACTCTTTTGCTATTCCTTGTGAGGCTCATTTAAACAGGTTTGTATACTAGCAAGCTAATCATTTCAAGGGTTAACCAAGTTAACCTTTGTATTTTCCATATTGAGAGCAAATTTTGGACTATTGCCAAAGGCAATAAATAGATTTCTAGGGGCCCCAAGGCCCTTCCATCAGTTGGGGTCCCCAGCAATGAAAGAGCTCAGGCCCAGTTGGCTGCAATGAAGCACAGAGGTGAGAAAGGGGAAAGAAGAATTGCAGTTGCATTTCCTTAGAGCAATTAGAGAAGACACCCAAGTGAGTGTTCTCCAACTTTCTCAGTCACCCAGACTATCAACTCCCCTCCTGCTTGACCAACTCAGACAATGAGACTCCGTCTCTTCATCTTTGGCCGCCTGAAAGCCTTTTTTTCTTACGTCTAATATATCTAGTCTATGGGAAAACATATTTGGCCTTAAACGTAATTAAGGATTATAAGAGCCAGTCATGCTTAAGAGATTCATAATGCTTTTGCTTTACATATTCCCTATTCCTAGTCTCCTTTATGGTGAACTCTCTCTGCTTTCATCCATCATTAAATATTTTATAGCATTTTAAAAATGGATAATGCTAACTGGATTATGTAGAATGTTCAGCTTGAACCAGCCTGGCATGTGGATGTTGTGCACAACTATAAAGCATGGAAAGAGAATTTTTCATGAAAAAAAATGTAATAGTGAAGAGAGCATGCATTCTTCTCACCCATTTCTAAACTTTTCTCCATGCTGGATAATGTCAGCATTGTGACTGCACTGGGCCAAAAAATGTTCTTTCTGAGCATGCTCTTTCTCCAAGCAGAATGGAGAAATTTTTAATGATTTTAATGATTTGAAATGGATTCTTAATGCCAGTAAACTAATTTATTTATATATAATAGCTTGATAGTATATAATTAAAATTCACCCAAAATTTAAAACTATTTTCAGTGGACAATTATTTAGGAAAAGAAGGGCAGAGAGTGTAAATATATAGCCTGCTAGGCAACAGAGAAATTAAAGTTCTCCACTGTCTGATTCAGGATTTTTTTATTATTATTACATAGTGAACAGAAGTGTGATGCAGTTGGCAGGTTCACTAAATCCATGGATGATGGAGTTAAGGAGTTGTTAACAGTAGGCCATGAACACTGGAAACGTTGTACAGGACGTAAGTGTTTAGTATGTATTTGCTTTAATGATTTAATTTTTATTAAATGAAAATGTATGTTTCACATATAAACCTTGGAACTATCAGTGCAATGATCATACATCAAATATAACGGCTTTGCAAAACATATTCACATAAATATTTGCCATATTAACATTTAAAAACTCTAATTTTAGTAAGTTCTTGGGAAAAGCTGATGCTTTTGTTTGTTATCAGGAATTCAAAAAATATAGTTAGAATACATTTTGATCTACATTATATTTTTCTGTCTTGGGTGATACTGCTAGCCAAAATTAAACATTACAAACCTGGTACCAAGAGATACTAAGGAAGTAAAACAAGATAGGGGAAATGAAATAGGGGGAGAATGTGCAAGATTTAAGAACTTTTGTCTTTACCACAAGAGGATGTCTAGAAAGTATCTTGTATCTAGTTATTTCCTGAAAATGTTTGCCTTTATTCAGATACATTGTAGATGTGTTTTTCTTCCAGCATTACCCAAGGAATATCAGAAAATAGGAAAAGCTTTACAGGGTTTGGCACTGGTTTTCAGTACTAGCGGTTATCAAGGTATTTTTCAGTTTTATATATATGTATATTTTCAAAACAGCATTGACCTGTTTCCATTTTGAGCTTCACAAAAAAGTTTGTGTCATCTTTTTGTAATTACTTTAGCATGATTCTATTTGTTGTTGTTGTTAATTGCAAAGTCGTGTCCGACCCATCGCGACCCCATGGACAACGTTCCTCCAGGCCTTCCTGTCCTCTACCATCTTCTGGAGTCCATTTAAGCTCACGCCTACTGCTTCAGTGACTCCATCTAGCCATCTCATTCTCTGTCGTCCCCTTCTTCTATTGCCCTCAATCTTTCTCAGCATTAGGCTCTTCTCCAGTGAGTCCTTCCTTCTCATTAGGTGGCCAAAGTACTTGAGTTTCAACTCAAGGATCTGGCCTTCTAAGGAGCAGTCAGGCTTGATCTCCTCTAGGACTGACCGGTTTGATCACCTTGCAGTCCAGGGGACTCGCAGGAGTCTTCTCCAGCACCATAGTTCAAAGGCCTCAATTCTTTTTCGCTCAGCCTTTCTTATGGTCCAACTTTCACAGCTATATATTACAACTGGGAAAACAATGGCCTTGACTATATGTACTTTTGTTGGCAGGGTAATGTCTCTGTTTTTTAGTATGCTGTCTAGATTTGCCATCTAGATTCTATTTATAGGAATCAGATATCAGGTTCAGAAATTTGTTTTAAGTCAATAATTGCTACCAATATATTCTATTTCAATAATCTAGATATTTCAGTTTACATTTGTGATTTCTACTTATCACAATAAATGCTATAATCAATGTATAAAAAAATGAATCAGATCACAACAAAATAGATAATTCAGTAATTTCCATATTTTTTGATTTGGGGGCTAATAAACTTGCCCAATAATAAAGGATTGTGGTATTTTAATCTAATATATTTAAGAGGCTACTTATTGCTTATTCCTGAATTACATGTGCTATAAGAAACGTAGCTGTTTTATCTCTTACATTTAATGGGTCCAATAAGAAAAAAATGAAAATTACATTCTAGTGTCACCTAATTTCTGATTAATTTTGCTATGTTGACAATTACCAAAATTATTGAAAGCAAATATTTTCCTCGCTGTCCGCATGTTCTACATCTTGACATTTCAATCAACTTATAAGTAGAAGTTTTTATTAAATATTGACGTAAATTAATGAGTAATTATTCAACATCTTATTGAACATGGTAATAGAAAATTATCCACGAGCAAATATATCTTAAACTGTGTTTTTAAAATTAAATATTGTTAACAGTTGTAGACTATATATATAAAAAAAAACTTGCTGAAATATGTCATTGCTGTTTTTAGGAGAGTCTGACCTCAATGAAGCAATAACTGAAGCAGGAAAAACGTATGAAGAAATAGCCAGTCTTGTGGCAGAGCAGGTATATTCTGTCTTATTATGATGAGAAAACTATCCGTGTACACAAAGGGTGGTTTGTGTGCACGCGCATGTCTTCAATTCTCTCCCCCCCCCCTTTTTTGGACTCTTGTCAATTGCCTGGACTAGTCCCGGCAGTTTTCTGTTTGCCATTGCTCCTTCCAAGGCTGAAAGAGAGTGTTACCCAGGTGGCTTTGTGCCTAAGGCAGGACTAGAACTCATGGTCTCTAGTTTCTAGTCTGATGCCATAACCAGTACACCAAACTAGCTCCTGCATAATTTAGTGTTATGTAAATTGTTTATTGCTGTCTTTTCTGTTTATTTTTTCTTTACTCTGTTGATTACCTTACTTTTTTTCAAGTGACATTAACGCACAATGACTATCAGGTTAGCAAAACAGTTTTAAAATATAACATGGAATTATTTTAACTTTAAAAGAAAAACAAGCTTCATGTTATTTTTTTTTAATACTCATTTATGTGGTACCTTCCAAATAAAGTAGACATATTCCTAGAATTAAGAGGGGTAGATTTTCTTAAATATCTGGAAAAAAAAACATTTGGGAAAGATTGCAAATTATTTTTAAAGGAATACTAAAATATGGAACTGTCCAATACATTACACAATTATTTATGTATATTTTGCATCTGGGTTGTCCTTTTGAGCTATCAATATTTTAAAAGTATTTTTCTCTATATTCTGTCATTTTACTTTAACTATGGACTTATTATGGCATGGTATTATAGAATTACTTACTATTTCTTTATTAGCCAAAGATGGATCTTCATTTTCTGATGGAGACCAATCACGAATACAAAGGATTTCTTGGTTGCTTTCCAGATATAATAGGTGCTCATAAGGTGAGAGACTATGTAGTATGAGTTTTCTAAGAGTGAATGCTAGTTATTTTAGTATCAGTAGAAATTTTAAAGTCAGTATGAACCCATTCAGTTCAAAATGAGTTTATCAGAAGTATTTCATTACACTTTATTTGTACTGGTATTTTTAATGTCATCACTACATTTTTAACTGCACTGGAATGCCCTAGGATGCTTGTAATTTTCTTTCTTAGGATGGATGCATACATTTCAGAATGATTAAAAGTTACAAAATCATATTATGGCTTTGTATTATGTATAACCTCGTAATGAAATAAATACCTATTTGGTCATTTACCAATATCTGAAAAGTCTGTTTTTTAGAAAGAAACGTCGTCTGTTGACCAAATTGATCTCATTTTAGTTATTTGCTAAGAAAGAACCAAAGCAGTTGATATAAAACCTAGCTGGAAATGTTGAGATGGGTTGGATGGATATTAGATGCTACACATGTCACACATGCACAAGTAGTTGTAGTTAATATAATATGTTTGATTTTATTTATGGTTGCCTGGACAAAGGCATTTGACAATATTCAGTATCATTACTGGTCACGCTTAATACCAGGTTTTGCAGGTTAAAACATTTTTGAAACTACTCAGGGACTGAATGATATTATTATAGCATTTGCAATAATTTTTTCAATGATGGCTCATGGTATATTTTTCTTAACAGGGAGCAATAGAAAAAGTGAAGGAAAGCGATAAACTGATTGCTACCAGCAAAATTACCCCCCAAGATAAACAAAACATGCTGACACGTGCAAGCATCATGTCTTATGCATTACAAGGTAATGTTTCAGACCAGATGGCAGCATCACAGCAAAATCTTCTGTGATTCTTGGAGTCTGAACAATTAAAAGTAAAGTACAATATAGACCATGGCCAAAAAAAAAAAAGGAATACTCAGCCTTGCACTAAAGTATCTTTTGATTAAATGTCTAAATAATGAATAAAACTGAAGGTTTTTAAAATTGGGATATAATAATGTCACCTGGCTTTCATTAACAGCGGAGATGAATCACTTCCACAGTAATCGAATTTATGATTATAATACTGTGATGCGTCTGTACCTGGAACAGCAGGCACAATTCTATGAAACGGTAAGCTGTACTGAATATAGTGCTCTTTTTATGTCCGTCAGCTATACAGTTACTTGTTCTTCTAAATAGAGTTGAACTCTTTGTGCTCAAATTTT